TGAGGCAGGTATCTCCAGCAACCTCTTACCTCCATCAGGCTGCATTGAGAACTCATCCTGGACACCATCCTGGGCCTCCAGGCAGGTCGCCGGCACCCAGCCTTGCTCCTCCGATGTGCTCACAAACCACCAGCCTGAGAAGAAAACAGCAGGCCGCTCAGCTAAGGGCTCTCAACAGCCAAAAACTCTCTCCTACCCTCCCCTCCAAACCACAAGCCTGGGGGACTTTGCCCCTTCCTTGCTGCCTACATGGGAAGCTGAGGTGACCCCAAAGCAACAGAGCCAAGCGCTACCTGAAAAGGAACACAGACAGTAGCACGGGAGAATTGCAGCTGAATGGTATCTAAATGCACAGTTCCCACCCCATAAAAAACAGGAGAGGCTCTGAGAACTGAATGGCTCCAGCCACTGCATTTGCTTTCTTTTTTTTTTCCCCCCTTCATTGTTCATTTTCCCTCAGTCTGGATCAGCAAGCCCAGGCTAATTAGCAGAGATGAATACACTGTCTGCAAATCAATAGCTGACTCCTGCTGCGCTCTCGCCTTCTTTACATTTGTGGAAACAGCAAATTTTAAAAGCTAAGAGCAAATGCAGGATTAAAACATGAGCTCTCCCAGTGGAAACCTAGCCAGCTCCGTAGCGGCCACAAGCAATTCTGGGCCACCCTGGGTGTCCAATCAAAATAAACGCGTGCTCCTCGGTTATTAAAAGCACAAGCTATTTGTGTCTTTAGGAGGAAAAACATAACGACTGAGCATTATCCTCAGAACCTCACCAGTGAGTCATTTAGAAAGACTACTAGATTGTTGCGGAGGGAATCAGCAGCTACCTGCACGGAAGGGAAAACCAGGGCTGACATTCGATAAATAAATTATTTGCCATAGCTTTTGAATTGGCTGTGCTATTAGGTTTCACTTGCTTCAGGGTTGCTTTTATTTTCCTCATTCTCAAACATAGCTGCTGGTGCAACTAATCCTCTGGGGACTGGCTTTCCAGAATTTTAAAATCTGTTTTCATGATTTGTCTTTAACCCCCCCTAAGCAACTTCTGTTAACTTCAGGGAATAAATTCCCCTTTTCAGCAAAGTCCAGAAGTTGGGCCCATGCCATGACTTGATCCCTTTCCAGAGGTTAAGAAACACATTTAAGTTTTGAAGCAAACGATAGCTCAGCTGCCTGCCCTGCTCCACGGCTGGGTGCTTCATTGTGTTCAGAACCAGGAATTGCAAACGCACAATGGGGGCTTTCACGGGCGCCATGAGAGTGTCCCCCTCTGTCGATAAAACAAGCCTGCCAACTCCAGGAATAGCTTTTGTCCTCAGGACCCATCAGCCAAGTTTTTCAGCACAAAGAAGCATAGAGACTGTAAAAGATGGACGGCGCCTGGCGCTCAGCACATGGGTAATCAGACCCTTCCTTTAGAGACAGCCCTGAAGTCTTATCCGTGCTCATACAGACAGCCTGCAGACTGAAGCTGCTTCCTCCACCTCCCACCTCAGCTGACCATGCAGGGACATCCCTGTGAGATGCCTGGAAGCTGGCCCTATTAAGAAAACGCCGACAATACAGGATTGCTATTCCTGCCCCTACTCTGCGATGCAGAGTAGACCCAAAGACCTCTGCCAAGCCAAACTCTCTGTACCTGATTCGTTCTTCTCAATGATATCCACCAACTGGCCCACGCACAAGCTGATCTCGGAGCTCTCCTGCTTCTGGTAGTCCGCCACCACGACATACTGCTCCAGCACCAACGGGTCGACCGACGCAGAGTCAGCTCCTGCACAGGGGGGACAAGAACCGACCCGTGTGCCAGGGTCAGCACCAGCTCCCAAGAGCGCAGGCTACCACTCCCAAGCACCTGCTGGCCTGCGAGTAGTTCCAGGACACCACGAGGACCCCAGCGTGAGAGACGTGAGCCAGAGACTTGGGCAGAGTGAGGAAGAGTGAGACCAAACCAGCAGCCAGGTGAGATGGGTACAGCCAGGTGAGACTTTTGACTTGCTACCCACCTTCCTGCTCACAGACAGAGCCATCCAAGCAACCCCACCAGTGCCACAGATGCACACAGCAGCCTGGCCCCTGCTGTCAGAGAACGAAGGGGCTCTGGGCAGTCTCCTGTGCACTGCCATCAGCTGCCCCCACGCATGGACCAGCTCAGACCCCAGCTCAATACACACAACCCGCAGTGAGTTTTGCTGGTCCTGGCTAAAGAGCCTGGACAGCCAGGTGGAGGGGTGCATGTAGGACAGAGCAGCATCCCCCTGTCATCATTGCCTTTATGCATTTCGGTCACCGTCTCACCACTCACCAGCACGGCTTGCTCGCTCTGCTATTTGCTCCACTAACTCTGCTCAGCTCCTCCTGCTGGAGATCCCAATTTCACGTCAGAAAAGAAAAAAAAAAAAAAAATACCCC